TCACAACTCTCTGATATCTATGGTTGAGATAGTCCTTAAACCAGTTAAGGAGTTGACCCGTTACGCCATACCATTTAAGTTTCTGGATAAGAATGGCGTGGTCTACAGAATCAAACGCCTTAGCGGGATCAAAATAAAGCATATCAGTTTGAGTGTTCCGGTCGAGTGATTTACTAATAGAGTGGAGAACAGGAAGGAGTTGTGTCACACAAGAACGATTACGCATGAAACCGTGCTGAAGTTCTGTGATTAGACGTGACACGTGGGCATAGAACCTGTTGCAGACGCAGCGTTCCATCACTTTACTAACTATTGACAATAAAGAGATGGGTCTGTAGTTTCCAGCAGGTTCCTTCAGATCTTTCTTGTGCACAGGTGTTACGTCTGCATTCTTCCATTCAGCTGGAAAACGCCCAGTGCGCAGAGAGTGGTTGAACAAAGCACATAAACTTGGTGCGATTTCCTTGCTACATTGTTTTAGAATGTGTGCAGGAATCCCATCTGGACCGGAGGCTTTAGATGAATCTAAGCCAGCCAAGCAAAGTTCCACTTCTTCCACAGACAGCTGCACATCGGAGATTTCAACATCTGATCGATTGGGGTTAGAGGGCATCGTACTGGGCACGGTGTTGGGAGAAGTAAACACAGAGCAAAAGTACGTGTTAAAGAGCTCAGCTTTTTCTCCGGACGTCTTGACTGTTTGACCATTATGCGTAATGACAGAGTCGACTCCTGAGCGATGATGTAATACCGCTTTATGATAGCTCCAGAACAGTTTTGGATTTTCACAGAAAGAACCCACGATTTTGTTGAGGTAATCACGATGTTTATGTCTGACAAGGATTTTGATGTCATTACTTAGAGATCTAAGTTTACGTTTGCGTTGTTCAGTTCTATTTTCGCGGTATTTTTTGAGAGCTCGATATTTCTTGCGCAGGAGGTGCCTGATTTCTCCATCAATCCATGGAGGAGAGTTTGTGTCTTTTATAACTTTAACAGGCACACATTTTTCTACTGCAGCTAAAAATAATGCTTTCCACCGAAACCAGTAGAGATCAACATCATCAGAGGCGGACATGTCTAATGCGTTAAGCTGCAGACGGTTACGAAGGGCCTCGAAATCTGCTCTCTTGTAGTTGTACGCTTTACGTTGCACACGCTTTGCTCGCTTGAACTTCAGCCGTATAAAGAAATCTACTAGGTAGTGATCAGAGGGGAAATTACTTTCCACTGGAGTAGAAGTGGAGACGTGGTCGATAACTTCCGGACAGTTGGAGAGAAGCAAGTCGAGTTTGTTTCCTGCTATATGAGTAGGGCCTTTAATGAATTGAGTGAGGAAGTTATCTTTTGTTAGGACGCAGAATTCACTGTCCTCCTGAGACCCGCCGATGTTAGTAGGGGCGGATTCATCAGGTGACCAAGTTAGAGAGGGAAGGTTAAAGTCACCAACAACTACGAAACACGCTGATTCAGGAGTTCCTTGTAGAGACAAATTAAGCTTGTGCAAGTCTTCTGGTCCAGGTTCGGGATGGTAAACAGTATAGAGAATAACTGACTTACTGTTATCCTTAATCAGTTCAACAACAGCAAGTTCAACATTGTCTCTCTCAAGGTCTTGTCGATGAGTGGACCTAATGTCAGACTTCACAGCAATTAAAACGCCTCCGCCAGTCCTTCCAACCCTGTCTTTGCGATAAATGTTATAGCCAGTTAGGATTTCTGATGACATAACTGAATCGTTCAACCAGGTTTCACATATACAGACAACGTCATAACAATTACTGTAGACCAGCTGCTGTATCAATGTTATTTTACAAACTTTGCTGGAAGGGTTTTCTACAAGGGGAACGAAAGCTTTGATACTTCGTGCGTTCATATAGAGGACATTTAAACCTCCGGGGTGGGTAGGTGAGTTGTTATTAACGTGAGCGGGACCGGGGTTAGTAGCAATGTCGCCAGCTAACAAGATCGAGATAAGCACATGATTTGAGACGTTGGCGATTCGTAAGTCCATACCATAGCGATAGTATTTTGGTAGGTTAAAACTTCTCAACTTTGTATCTCGGGTAGAAATCCAGACAAAACATAGTTTATCAGGCAGTCGTGCTAGCTCGGAGCTAATTGCTATATTACCTAGAGGCAGACTAGTATCAGGTTGACAATGAGTCGGAGACGGCTTTAGTTTTAGACACAGACTGAGAATTGTTAGCATAACTACAAAATTTAGTACTGTTCCCATTGCTGCGATGTTAGGCATATTGGGTATCTCAGACAAAACAAAGAAGTTGATAGTTCTATACTTGATATATAATATGCATATGTAGTAGAGAATGATCAGGCGATAATACCAGATAGGAAGTTGAATATCACTAAATATCACGATACAGATTACAGCCCACGCCGCATCCCACAATTACAGCGTGTAAGATTTGTAACTTAGTTAAACACGAAAGTCGTTCCAATTAACATTGTGTACAACCTCGCACCCTGGCTTGCGAGATTGCATTGTATAGAATTGGTCTTAATAATAGTCATGAGCATGTTTTAGCTAAATTGTGCAATCCTGAACCCACAATGCCGCAATGGAAAGTCATACTTGCAACAACCAAAAAAAACCGAAAAATCCTTGCATTTTCAGCAAGGGTACCAAAAATCAGGCAAGCCTGGGTCAAAAAAAAGTCTTAACCCAGAGAAAGGGGAGGGGGGGGGGGGGCAAAAAAGTTTTTGAACTTAAATACCATGTCTATTTATATCACAAACAGCATAAACTCACAAATCATAATGCCAAATAGGTAAAGAAGACTCTGAAAATGCCATTTCCAATGATCTAGAGACTCAATATTTTCAAAATTTCCATGCTCAGCACCAACCATGGTAATGCCTTGTGGGAGTCGGGCCCACTAAGTTTAACAAGCTTCCTACCCCCTGAGTGACCCAGTTGTGGTATTTACATAAACATCCATGCAAGAAATACTTAACTGATCAGATTCGGTCTATCAAAGAACAATGTAACGCTGTATATCCAAAAACTGTGTTTCAGAAAATGCTCGCATTTCAGTCCTAGGGGTGGAAAAATTTTCTGGGGGAAGAATACACCCAGACCCCCCTACTAGTACATATGATACCACAACAAACTTTTTGTCACCAACAACCATCTGTCATCTCTCCACACTCAATATAGTATGGTCCCTATTTGTAGATGCCCCCCAGACACTTTTTGTAGATGCCCCCCCAGACAAGTTCGTAAAAAAATTTCAATCCACAAGGGGGGGGGGTCAGAAAAGTTTCTAATTTTATGAGGGGGGCCATTTTATGACTCAATGAGCATATCTCATTGCTTGAACAGCTAGTTGATACAGATTGTACGTTCTGCTCTGAAGTTTTGATATAGATTTTCTTGATTAATATCCATCGTTTTACTGATATTTATGTACTATTTACAACATGAGCGGCCGTGTTGTACAAACTCGAACCGAAGGCGAGAGTTTGTATATCCGATACAACACAGCCGCTCATGTTGTAAATGGCTTAAAAAACGACCCATCTTATGAACTCATTGGCAAAGTAATTTTAAAAATAAACGTTGTCTAAGCCAAGAAAATCAAAGCTAAAGTTTATCATATATACAGACACCGACATGGTGATTTCTTTTGTGTTTTGCTCATGAATTATTAATGAGGTTTTTAATGTGATTTACAAGGCTAAACTGTGATCTAAACACCTTTTTAAATTTTATTAATTATTCATTTCGATTTTAAGTATGCATGACGAGCCCAATTCCAAGTGTTGAGAATACAATAAGTATAACTAATATTGAGAAATAGGTATTATTAATATACCTGACTTTTTTATCTTTTCATGTTATTATTTTCCAACATGTTGTCAACATTTCTTTTTCTCCGGCTTCCTTGACCACATATAGTCGATATCAAGTCAGAATTCTTTATGGCACACACTTCTACTGTAACTCTCCAAAGAGAAATACACCATATTAGTAAACCACCATTGGAACCCAATATTTAAATTTTGGATAAGGCCATAAATATGTTTATTTATTAGGTTGTCGAAACTAATCACTCTAAATCATAGCTGATTACAAGATTTATAAGGCACCATATTGAGTTGTGTCTATGATCTGATAGGAAGTAATAATATAAACCAGCTGAGAATAAGTCTTAACAAGTGATGAAAAAAAGTAAAACCTTTTGGTAATATTTCATTAGCTAGAGTCCAGGGTTGCATAGCTCCAGTGCTTACTCCTGTGGGTTGTGGATTTCTGACGCTGACTATGGAGGGTTGTGGAGGTGTGCCGCTAATATATCTGGTTTCTGAAGATGTGGTATTCACTACTCTGGATTGTTGTGGAGCTGTTGGGTTTACAACTTTGGATCCTGGAGCTGTGATGTTAAAGTCTATAGGTTGTCGAGTCCTGGTGCTTACTATTGAGGGTTGTCGAGGTGTGCTGCTAACATATCTGGGTGGTGAAGATGTGGTATTCACTACTCTGGATTGTTGTGGAGTTGTTGGGTCTACAACTGTGGATTGTGGAACTGTTATGTTAACATTTCTTGGTTGTGGAGTCATGGTGCTTACTATTGAGGGTTGTGGAGGTGTGCTGCTAACATATCTAGGTTGTGAAGATGTGGTATTCACTACTCTGGATTGTTGCGGAGCTGTTGGGTCTACAACTGTGGATTGTGGAGCTGTGATGTTAACATCTATAGGTTGTGGAGTCCTGGTGCTTACTATTGAGGGTTGTGGAGGTGTGGTGCTAACATATCTGGATTGTGAAGATGTGGTATTCACTACTCTGGATTGTTGTGGAGCTGTTGGGTTTACAACTTTGGATTGTGGAGCTACGATGTTAACCTATATAGGTTGTGCAGTCATGGTGCTTACTATTGAGGGTTGTGTGCGGAGGTGTGTAGCTAACATATCTGGGTTGTGAAGAGGTGATATTCACTACTCTGGATTGTTGTCGAGCTGTTGCGCCTACAACTTTGGATTGTGGAGCTGTGATGTTAACGTCTATAGGTTGTGGAGTCCTGGTGCTTACTATTGAGGGTTGTGGAGGTGTGCTGCTAACATATCTGGGTTGTGAAGATGTGGTATTCACTACTCTGGATTGTTGCAGAGCTGTTGCGTCTACAACTGTGGCTTGTGGAGCTGTGATGTTAACATCTCTTGGTTGTGGAGTCATGGTGCTTACTATTGAGGGTTGTGTGTGGAGGTGTGCCGCTAACATATCTGGGTTGTGAAGATGTGGTATTCACTACTCTGGATTGTTGTGGAGCTGTTGGGTTTACAACTTTGGATTGTGGAGCTGTGATGTTAACCTATATAGGTTGTGGAGTCATGGTGCTTACTATTGAGGCTTGTGTGCGGAGGTGTGTAGCTAACATATCCGGGTTGTGAAGATGTGGTATTCACTACTCTGGATTGTTGTGGAGCTGTTGCGTCTACAACTTTGGATTGTGGAGCTGTGATGTTAACGTCTATAGGTTGTGGAGTCCTGGTGCTTACTATTGAGGGTTGTGTAGGTGTGCTGCTAACATATCTGGGTTGTGAAGATGTGGTATTCACTACTCTGGATTGCTGTGGAGCTGTTCAGTCTACAACTGTGGATTGTGGAGCTGTGATATTAACGTCTATAGGTTGTGGAGTCCTGGTGCTTACTATTGAGGGTTGTGGAGGTGTGGTGCTAACATATCTGGATTGTGAAGATGTGGTATTCACTACTCTGGATTGTTGTGGAGCTGTTGGGTTTACAACTTTGGATTGTGGAGCTACGATGTTAACCTATATAGGTTGTGCAGTCATGGTGCTTACTATTGAGGGTTGTGTGCGGAGGTGTGTAGCTAACATATCTGGGTTGTGAAGAGGTGATATTCATTACTCTGGATTGTTGTCGAGCTGTTGCGCCTACAACTTTGGATTGTGGAGCTGTGATGTTAACCTATATAGGTTGTGGAGTCATGGTGCTTACTATTGAGGGTTGGGGAGGTGTGCTGCTAACATATCTGGGTTGTGAAGATGTGGTATTCACTACTCTGGATTGTTGTGGAGCTGTTGGGTTTACAACTTTGGATTGTGGAGCTACGATGTTAACCTATATAGGTTGTGGAGTCATGGTGCTTACTATTGAGGGTTTGTGGAGGTGTGCTGCTAACATATCTGGGTTGTGAAGATGTGGTATTCACTACTCTGGATTGTTGTGGAGCTGTTGGGTCTACAACTGTCGATTGTGGAGCTGTGATGTTAACATCTCTTGGTTGTGGAGACATGGTGCTTACTATTGAGGGTTGTGTGTGGAGGTGTGTAACTAACATATATGTGTTGTGAAGATGTGGTATTCACTACTCTGGATTGTTGTGCAGCTGTTGGGTTTACAACTGTGGATTGTGGAGGTGTGGTGTTAACGTCTATAGGTTGTGGAGTCATGGTGGTTACTATTGAGGGTTGTGGAGGTGTGCTGCTAACATATCTGGGTTGTGAAGATGTGGTATTCACTACTCTGGATTGTTGTGGAGCTGTTGCGTCTACAACTTTGGATTGTGGAGCCAGGATGTCAACGTCTATAGGTTGTGGAGTCCTGGTGCTTACTATTGAGGGTTGTGGAGGTGTGCTGCTAACATATCTGGATTGTGAAGATGTGGTATTCACTACTCTGGATTGTTGTGGAGCTGTTGCGTCTACAACTTTGGATTGTGGAGCTGTGATGTTAACGTCTATACGTTGTGGAGTCCTGGTGCTTACTATTGAGGGTTGTGGAGGTGTGCTGCTAACATATCTGGATTGTGAAGATGTGGTATTCACTACTCTGGATTGTTGTGCAGCTGTTGCGTCTACAACTTTGGATTGTGGAGCTGCGATGTTAACGTCTATAGCTTGTGGAGTCCTGGTTCTTACTATTGAGGGTTGTGGAGGTGTGCTGCTAACATATCTGGGTTGTGAAGATGTGGTATTCACTACTCTGGATTGTTGTGGAGCTGTTGGGTCTACAACTGTCGATTGTGGAGCTGTGATGTTAACATCTCTTGGTTGTGGAGACATGGTGCTTACTATTGAGGGTTGTGTGTGGAGGTGTGTAACTAACATATCTGTGTTGTGAAGATGTGGTATTCACTACTCTGGATTGTTGTGCAGCTGTTGGGTTTACAACTGTGCATTGTGGAGCTGTGATGTTAACGTCTATAGGTTGTGGAGTCATGGTGCTTACTATTGAGGGTTGTGGAGGTGTGCTGCTAACATATCTGGGTTGTGAAGATGTGGTATTCACTACTCTGGATTGTTGTGGAGCTGTTGGGTCTACAACTGTGGATTGTGGAGCTGTGATGTTAACATCTCTTGGTTGTGGAGACATGGTGCTTACTATTGAGGGTTGTGTGTGGAGGTGTGCTGCTAACATATCTGGGTTGTGAAGATGTGGTATTCACTACTCTGGATTGTTGTGGAGCTGTTCATTCTACAACTGTGGATTGTGGAGCTGTCATGTTAACGTCTATAGGTTGTGGAATCCTGGTGCTTACTATTGAGGGTTGTGGAGGTGTGGTGCTAACATATCTGGGTTGTGAAGATGTGGTATTCACTACTCTGGATTGTTGTGGAGCTGTTGGGTCTACAACTGTGGATTGGGAGCTGTGATGTTAACATATCTTGGTTGTGGAGTCATGGTGCTTACTATTGAGCATTGTGTGTGGAGGTGTGCTGCTAACATATCTGAGTTGTGAAGATGTGGTATTCAGTACTCTGGATTGTTGTGGAGCTGTTGGGTTTACAACTTTGGATTGTGGAGCTGTAATGATAACCTATATAGGTTGTGCAGTCATGGTCCTTACTATTCAGGGTTGTGGAGGTGTGCTGCTAACATATCTGGATTGTGAAGATGTGGTATTCACTACTCTGGATTGTTGTGGAGCTGTTGCATCTACAACTTTGGATTGTGGAGCTGTGATGTTAACATCTATAGGTTGTGGAGTCCTGGTGCTTACTATTGAGGGTTGTGGAGGTGTGCTGCTAACATATCTGGGTTGTGAAGATGTGGTATTCACTACTCTGGATTGTTGTGGAGCTGTTGGGTCTACAACTGTCGATTGTGGAGCTGTGATGTTAACATCTCTTGGTTGTGGAGACATGGTGCTTACTATTGAGGGTTGTGTGTGGAGGTGTGTAACTAACATATCTGTGTTGTGAAGATGTGGTATTCACTACTCTGGATTGTTGTGCAGCTGTTGGGTTTACAACTGTGGATTGTGGAGCTGTGATGTTAACGTCTATAGGTTGTGGAGTCATGGTGCTTACTATTGAGGGTTGTGGAGGTGTGCTGCTAACATATCTGGGTTGTGAAGATGTGGTATTCACTACTCTGGATTGTTGTGGAGCTGTTGCGTCTACAACTTTGGATTGTGGAGCCAGGATGTCAACGTCTATAGGTTGTGGAGTCCTGGTGCTTACTATTGAGGGTTGTGGAGGTGTGCTGCTAACATATCTGGATTGTGAAGATGTGGTATTCACTACTCTGGATTGTTGTGGAGCTGTTGGGTCTACAACTGTGGATTGTGGAGCTGTGATGTTAACATCTCTTGGTTGTGGAGACATGGTGCTTACTATTGAGGGTTGTGTGTGGAGGTGTGCTGCTAACATATCTGGGTTGTGAAGATGTGGTATTCACTACTCTGGATTGTTGTGGAGCTGTTGGGTTTACAACTTTGGATTGTGGAGCTGTGATGTTAACCTATATAGGTTGTTGGGTCATGGTGCTTACTATTGAGGGTTGTGTGTGGAGGTGTGTAGCTAACATATCTTGGTTCTGAAGATGTGGTATTCACTACTCTGGATTGTTGTGGAGCTGTTGCATCTACAACTTTGGATTGTGGAGCTGTGATGTTAACATCTATAGGTTGTGGAGTCCTGGTGCTTACTATTGAGGGTTGTGGAGGTGTGCTGCTAACATATCTGGATTGTGAAGATGTGGTATTCACTACTCTGGATTGTTGTGCAGCTGTTGGGTTTACAACTGTGGATTGTGGAGGTGTGGTGTTAACGTCTATAGGTTGTGGAGTCATGGTGCTTACTATTGAGGGTTGTGGAGGTGTGCTGCTAACATATCTGGGTTGTGAAGATGTGGTATTCACTACTCTGGATTGTTGTGGAGCTGTTGCGTCTACAACTTTGGATTGTGGAGCTGCGATGTTAACGTCTATAGGTTGTGGAGTCCTGGTGCTTACTATTGAGGGTTGTGGAGGTGTGCTGCTAACATATCTGGATTGTGAAGATGTGGTATTCACTACTCTGGATTGTTGTGGAGCTGTTGGGTTTACAACTTTGGATTGTGCAGCTGTGATGTTAACCTATATAGGTTGTGCAGTCATGGTGCTTACTATTGAGGGTTGTGGAGGTGTGCTGCTAACATATCTGGGTTGTGAAGATGTGGTATTCACTACTCTGGATTCTTGTGGAGCTGTTGCGTCTACAAATTTGGATTGTGGAGCTGTGATGTTAACGTCTATAGGTTGTGGAGTCCTGGTGCTTACTATTGAGGGTTGTGGAGGTGTGATGCTAACATATCTGGGTTGTGAAGATGTGGTATTCACTATTGTGGATTGTTGTGGAGCTGTTCAGTCTACAACTGTGGATTGTGGAGCTGTGATGTTAACGTCTATAGGTTGTGGAGTCCTGGTGCTTACTATTGAGGGTTGTCAGGTATGCTGCTAACATATCTGGGTTGTGAAGATGTAGTATTCACTACTCTGGATTGTTGTGGAGCTGTTCGGTCAACAACTGTGGATTGTGGAGCTGTGATGTTAACATCTCTTGGTTGTGGCGTCATGGTGCTTACTATTGAGGGTTGTGTGTGGAGGTGTGCTGCTAACATATCTGGGTTGTGAAGATGTGGTATTCACTACTCTGGATTGTTGTGGAGCTGTTGCGTCTACAACTTTGGATTGTGGAGCTGTGATGTTAACGTCTATAGGTTGTGCAGTCCTGGTGCTTACTATTGAGGGTTGTGGAGGTGTGCCGCTAACATATCTGGATTGTGAAGATGTGGTATTCACTATTCTGGATTGTTGTGGAGCTGTTGCGTCTACAACTTTGGATTGTGGAGCTGTGATGTTAACGTCTATAGGTTGTGGAGTCCTGGTGCTTACTATTGAGGGTTGTGTGTGGAGGTGTGCTGCTAAGATATCTGGGTTGTGAAGATGTGGTATTCACTACTCTCGATTGTTGTGTAGCTGTTGCGTCTACAACTTTGGATTGTGGAGCTGTGATGTTAACGTCTATAGGTTGTGGAGTCCTGGTGCTTACTATTCAGGGTTGTGGAGGTGTGCTGCTACCATATCTGGATTGTGAAGATGTGGTATTCACTACTCTGGATTGTTGTGGAGCTGTTGCATCTACAACTTTGGATTGTGGAACTGTGATGTTGACATCTCTTGGTTGTGGAGTCATGGTGCTTACTATTGAGGGTTGTGTGTGGAGGTGTGCTGCTAACATATCTGGGTTGTGAAGATGTGGTATTCACTACTGTGGATTGTTGTGGAGCTGTTGGGTTTACAACTTTGGATTGGGCAGCTGTGATGTTAACCTATATAGGTTGTGCAGTCATGGTGCTTACTATTGAGGGTGGTGGAGGTGTGCTGCTAACATATCTGGATTGTGAAGATGTGGTATTCACTACTCTGGATTGTTGTGGAGCTGTTGGGTCTACAACTGTGGATTGTGGAGCTGTGATGTTAACATCTCTTGGTTGTGGAGACATGGTTCTTACTATTGAGGGTTGTGTGTGGAGGTGTGTAGCTAACATATCTTGGTTCTGAAGATGTGGTATTCACTACTCTGGATTGTTGTGGAGCTGTTGGATCTACAACTTTGGATTGTGGAGCTGTGATGTTAACATCTATAGGTTGTGGAGTGCTGGTGCTTACTATTGAGGGTTGTGGAGGTGTGTTGCTAACATATCTGGATTGTGAAGATGTGGTATTCACTACTCTGGATTGTTGTGGAGCTGTTGCGTCTACAACTTTGGATTGTGGAGCTGCGATGTTAACGTCTATACGTTGTGGAGTCCTGGTGCTTACTATTGAGGGTTGTGGAGGTGTGCTGCTAACATATCTGGATTGTGAAGATGTGGTATTCACTACTCTGGTTTGTTGTGCAGCTGTTGCGTCTACAACTTTGGATTGTGGAGCTGCGATGTTAACGTCTATAGCTTGTGGAGTCCTGGTGCTTACTATTGAGGGTTGTGGAGGTGTGCTGCTAACATATCTGGGTTGTGAAGATGTGGTATTCACTACTCTGGATTGTTGTGGAGCTGTTGGGTCTACAACTGTCGATTGTGGAGCTGTGATGTTAACATCTCTTGGTTGTGGAGACATGGTGCTTACTATTGAGGGTTGTGTGTGGAGGTGTGCTGCTAACATATCTGGGTTGTGAAGATGTGGTATTCACTACTTTGGATTGTTGTGGAGCTGTTGGGTTTACAACTTTGGATTGTGGAGCTGTGATGTTAACCTATATAGGTTGTTGGGTCATGGTGCTTACTATTGAGGGTTGTGTGTGGAGGTGTGTAGCTAACATATCTTGGTTCTGAAGATGTGGTATTCACTACTCTGGATTGTTGTGGAGCTGTTGCATCTACAACTTTGGATTGTGGAGCTGTGATGTTAACGTCTATAGGTTGTGGAGTCCTGGTGCTTACTATTGAGGGTTGTGGAGGTGTGCTGCTAACATATCTGGGTTGTGAAGATGTGGTATTCACTACTCTGGATTGTTGTGGAGCTGTTGCGTCTACAACTTTGGATTGTGGAGCTGTGATGTTAACGTCTATAGGTTGTGGAGTCCTGGTGCTTACTATTGAGAGTTGTGGAGGTGTGCAGCTACCACACATCACAAGTTGCCCTCTTCGGTCGCATACGTGATTAATCAAACAATATTATTATAATGCCTGTAATAACGTTTGGTTTTGCCTATTTTATTCGGTAGGAGCGATCACATGAAGAAGATAATATGATTTTATGCGAAAATTGTCGAAAAAAGAAAAAGGCAAGTAGCTACATATTTAATATATACTCTCTAGTCACTGCAAAGCTAACATGTCATTAATTTTCAACATGTTAGCCAGTAAGTCAACTAACACATTCATAATTATGTGTTTTGCATTTAGTGCCCTGGCAGTAACTATTACCATATGACGTGCCTGGGTTATTCTAAACTGCCTGAAAACGACCCATGGTAAGTTATTTTATTCCCACTTTGTCTATAACTATATATTATATAAAAGGGTAATAGTTATTATTTTGCCACAATAGAAAAATTCTTAATTTAATTTATTGTATGATTAATTGTTTCTGACGTTTCGGCCACTTAAGTAGCCGAAATGTCAAGAAAACAAGTAAAATGTTAATCTGGTTGATCATACAATAAAATAAATTAATGGAAGCACCCGGATTAAAGGCTTTCAGAAAAATTCTTATAAAATTTATAATTTACCATTCATTAACGAGTTAATATACATTTCCTAAAGGTACTGTCCTAGTTGCAAGAAAGATCGAGAATGAAATATAGGCCTATAGTCTTGATCCCCTATTGAGAAAGCCGGCTAAGGCAATTGGTTCAGAATGCTCTTTCGGCTTTGTGCCAACGCGTATATGTGATGCAATTATATTGAAAGGTGATTTTTGGCTGAAGTGAAACATGTGCATGAGCCGCAACTGTACATCAAAATCGTTTCGTATTGCATTACCACAATAAAGAAAGTTTGCAATTGTTTTATACTTTACTGAAATCAATACCTTACTCCACGAATGAACAATCAACACGTTTTAAACATCAGTGGTGTGGGAACGTTCCATAATAACAGTTTTGTTTTTTAAAAAAGTAATAAATCAATATGAATGTACCATGCTTTCAAATTTGGATTGTTAAATTGTTGATTATACATCTACAATACTAGTGTCCCTTATTAAATATATTCTTAGCACTAATTTGCATTGTGGTAAGGTTATAGTGGTATCATTGATAAGGATAAGACTGCATGATCAAAACTCAAAAGGGACACAAGTCATCGAAACTTTTAACTATAAACTATGGAAAAGAGGGAGTGAAAAATATGATAAAGAAAATAAGAGAGTGAAATACACACAGTGTTGTGTGGAAAGTGATTGGTAAGAAGCTAAAACTTGCGATGACGTGCGTCTCGATCGTGCATTCACTGGTCCGATCTCAATGGCAATATGGTCCCGTGAGAACGCAAGGAGAAATCGGACGAATTCACATGGTCTCGTGTGAACGGGGTCTTATTATAGGGAGTTTAAGGCTACGTTTACACTTGTGGCAGATAGTTTTCCGTAGAGACGTGAAAAACACCTATCCGTACCTTTTAAGAACACTATTTTTGGAGGAATTATTCCAATGAAAAGATGTTTCGCTGCTCATCTTCTCATTAAAGTTGTACATTCCGTATTGGATAGGTGCTTTTTCGCGGCGCTACGGAAAGCTATCCGGTATAGTGGAAACATAGCCTATAAGCTTCACGTTTACAGGAATGGCAAACGGCATAATCGAATTTTGTTGGCAGAATTTTTGCTTAATTTCTTCGCTTCATGTTCTCATTCTTATCTCAAAAGAATCATTGAACATTACAGTCTTAAAAGAGAAAGTTGATTTCCCATTTACTACCTTGTAGCTTTTTCTTCCCTGGCATTTGCCATTTGAACACGAAGAAGCTTAAACTCCCTATTTATAGAGTTAACTGAACTTACGCGTAAGTGTCCAAACAGAATATAAACACATTATTTGTGTAGTAGTAAAAAAATCAAGTGTTTATAGTAATTCAACTTTGTATCTTACGGGCCTTTGGTAAAAGAGGCTTCTTTCCGTTCTTATAGCACTTAACAGTATATCTGTTTCTGTGTTTTACTATTCTATGTAAGTCAAACAAGTGATGCACTTTAGGTGTAGCACACAATATTTTCTTGTATCTGGATAACCAAACAAAGGTCTGCTCAGCTGCCATCGTGTTTCCGTTTGGGATTTCTTCTTTCACAGGCTGCAGATCATATTTTTCCTGGCAAGTTTTATCTTTGTGATTCCTTATGTGCAGGCTGTCGATAATTTTTCGTATTGATATCCATGCTTTGTCCCATGGTTCTGGCCAAGGTAAGACTTTCCTGGCTGCCCTCAGGCCATCTAGGCGACACATGTTGTCATATGCAAGAAACACTTTGCACCAATTAACCGGGTTGATTGTCTTCAACACAGCACAGAGCCAAGACAAAATTATAATAAACACCTGTGATGGGCTTTCTGATCTAAAACATTATGAATCATGAATGCAATATGACTACATTGCTTTGAATGTCACACTGGTAATGTTTATGTCCAGTTCAAGAACAAAGCGTTTGTGTTCCCTTACACATTATGTTCTATGGAATATGTACCTTTTATGTATATAAAATATGATCTTGATAAATTAGTATGTCAATTTGCGGCCATTTGTTAAATTCCCTAAAATCTGTTAAATTCTTAATGTGGCTTTAGTATTTTACTATTTCAAACACGCAATACGACTGTGTTATTGTACAATGACCAGTCGTAAGGTATATGAACTAGGAGTTACTATCGCAAGGAAAGTGCTGCCTTTTTCACCACATGAACTGAATGCAAAACAACTCTAAAGGGGAGTTTACTTTTGACCCAATGAACTTATTCTTAAATTGCGTGCATGGAACATGAGTAAATAACCAACATGAAAAAGTTGTCATTGGGTCAAAAGTGGATAAAGGCATACCCATTAGCTGACAATGCACCCCCACTTTAGTATTAACTCTGTCTAATGCCAGACAAATTTACACTTTGTAATGCCAGATGATTTTACTTGTCAGTTGTAGAGTACTGTCAGTATCTGCTAATGTCTCTTATCAACCGCCATTGGCTGGCAATGCGCCATACTTTAGTAGTTACTGCCTATCCACTACCTGTAGGAAGCAATTTTGTATTGGGGGAGCTGATTAGTCAGGGGCGATTATTAGGTAATTATTTCCCTCTCAAACTTCACAGATTATCACTAGTTTACAAATTATTTTTTTGGGGGGCGGGGCTGAAGACCCCACACCCCGGTTGCTACGGCCGTGCTATCAGTGCCAGTAAATGGCTTAATTTCTCGTCACCCCAATTTAAATTTTTACGATTTTTGTTGTTTCTAATTGTAGTTATCTCAGCAAGTATTCCCCCCCCCCCGCCTTTAAACATTGTGATTCTGACAAATTAGCCTTTTCAACGTACGGGGGGTCAGATGCCTTCAAAACATTACACAAACCAAAACAATCATGTATTTACAAGAAATAAACTTGAATATCTTCTAGACTCTTCAGAATTTGCTCAGAGTCAATCAGGGACGTTGTGGGCCCTAAATTAAAAACATTGCAAAAGATAAAAAATATAGATTTTAATTCTGAAAATCAAGATTAAGATATTACAATTTATATTTTAAAAATCTAAATTTACGAAAACATTACTGAAATGTTTCATGTTTGATCAGTAATAACCCCCGCCCCAATCTTGATCCATCCATCACTGGGCCTGGGCCTCATCAGACGTTGCTCATTCATCGTCCTTTTCAAGACCACAGCACGTCGCTGGAGTCAATGTGAGTAAAATACTCCTTGTATTAAAGCGCTTTCGTGTAGGAAGTTTTGTTTGAATACAGCGAGTAGAAATATTTATTTTGAATTTTTCAAAATATCGGGTTTTTACTCGCACGCGCATGCCACGTGTATGCTTGGCCATATATAGCCCGATGCCCGTGCAAACCTTGCCACTGGGAGTACTTTGACCTGTAGATTCGATTTCCGGTTTTTCCAAACCCCTAGGATGTAAACAGCTGTTTTGATGTACGTTTCACGGGCCGCGCTAAAAATATAAATATTCTGTAAATACCGAAATAAAAGATGAAAATCTGAAGACACAAGCTTGAAAATAACACTGTGAATAGTGTTTTGGATTCTGGTCCGAATGAGACTATTACGAAAAAGATATGTCCAAAGGGGCCGAAGTTATGTTCGGCGAAATGTATGGCTACTTTACATTGTTCGTTTATATATAATGAAATATGATACCATACCTTACTTGTTAAAATTCGCATCGTACTATTATTGTAATATTATTAGGCAAATGAGAACCATGCAATAAGTGTTTTAGTTCTTGTTATTTTAAACGCACGCTTTATCTTTACTACCACAACGTTTTTCGTGCGGATTATATTTCGCGCAGTGCTAAAATTTGCTCAACCAGCGCTGCGCGAATTCTAGTACTGCGCGAATTTTAATACTGTAAGACATATTGTGTCATTGTGGACATTTGACTAATGTCAAAATAAAATTATGACAATACATTACTCGACTTTGAACGAACAATAGTTTATGAATTCTTAAACTCTTTCATATACATGGTAGCCAGCGATTTGTAGTAGGTAGCCATAAAGTAGGTAGCTGGTAGCATGAATCCAGGCTGTTACCCTCGATATTGCAACTGTATTAAACCAGTTCATCACATCGATAAATAAACACTGAGTATATGAACTAAACTTACAGATATTATTACTTTATGTACTGAAAATTTCGGGTGAAACACTTAAAAGACACATATTTGAGTAGCCTGCTCGCATCATTGAAGAAAATTTTGTTGAACAACCCCCTCATTTTACAAACCAACTTGAATACTTAATGAGCCCCCTGGAATGCCGAAATCTCCACCGAGTGAAAATCGCTATTCGACTATACATAACTCGGCCGCGGGGGCTGGACACGAAAAAGCAAGAACATCATATAACGTCAAGAATAGTGTGCTGCCAAGCTGAGGCTCAGCAGCAATAATTGTTAAATATTACATTTTTCTACCTCAGTCAATATACTTACTTAAAAAGAGGACTCCACTTATCAATTATCCCTCCTCCTCCTTGAACAACAAACAAATGTCCCCTGGACCACTTCTGAAGTCTTTGTTTGCCTCCAGTTTCCTTACTGCACAGGGTTGGTTCCAGTTCAATGCAATCATCCAATATTGTTGTAACTGCCTCCTGTTCCTTTTCAATAAAGTCAGTGTTGCCTGTTGGAGTTAACATATTAACATTAGGCCTAACCTACACATTTATTTAGTTCACTTTTATACTTTCAATTATTACTTACCAAAAAATTGCTACATAAAAAACTTTTGCAGATACGTAATTATGGCAGATGCAAAATAGAGATACATAATTTCTTCATGAAATTATTTGGGTTAAATTATTGCCTCCCTCCTTAGCACACAAATTTACCTTGTGACTGTACAGCACTACTTCCAATTTGGGAAACTACATCATCATCCAGTGTCTTTAAAATTTCATCGACTTTGGACACATCGTTATCTGGCAACATACATAGTTCATCACTCTGGGATTCTTCACCTATGTTGAATATAATGGGGTGCATGTATAAGTGTATTAAAAATGTAATCAAAGACTTGAGTTGACATGGTCTTTAACTTCCCTATAATTGTGCAATCACAGAAATTAAATACAACATGGTAAAAAAAATTATTATTTAATTATTGTACCTATACTGCTAGTATTGCTCGACATAACACCACAATGTTTTAAAAATCCCCTGATGTCGGTGGGCACTTCAGGATACATTCTTTCTAAATATTCCACATGCAGCTTGCAGAAAGCTTTTCCAAGTTGTGGGGATAATTTATTAAGGGAAAACCTTTTACAAGATTCTAATGAGTAGAAGAAATATTAAAAAATATAAATATCTTGTATTTATTTACTATTATTACACATGCACTCATGCAGTACCTTTCTATGCATCATACAATGTGCAAACATTAGTTTCCATATCCCATCAGCCACCCAAAGCCTTCCACAACCTTTAAAAAAATTACTTAAAATTAGTATGTTAAATTTACAACAAATTATTAAAGACCATGTCAAGTCCGTGTAAACAAATCCTTTGTTTACATTTTGAACTGCTATATTTGTAAAATAAGACATACTAACTGAATATATCTAACACTTTTCTGGTTCGCTAAAATTAATATTAAACTCTACGTTTCAATTCAAAAAAAGTTCGAAAGATGTAAAATTTGGGCAATGTTTACATCTGTGGGTCCACCTTTGTTATGAGCAGAACCCGCTGCCAAGTTCAATAATTTATTGACTTTGCAGCACATTATTCTTGCCTTTTTTTAAAAAAAACTAGCATTCATGAACTGAATTAATTAGCTTCACAACCCAAAATCATAACAAGGAAATGAGAACAATAGTACCAATCTTCAAACACCTTGATTCCCCGTTTCTTCTTGAATATCAAACTATTTTGTTATCTTACCCCGTTCCTTACAAATATCCGAACACTCGTCGGATGTATGTTGGTACACTGTCTTAGCTCTAATTTTGTCAATCTCCTCCAATACTTTATAAGAATCATCATCTTCTTTCAATTTACCAAAAAAATCCAGTTTTCCTAATTCTCTTAACTCATCCTCCATCTCACCAATCCAAAATCCTGCAGCCACTCGTTTCTCTCCAAACTCTACATATACAAAAGTAAATTACTTTATTGACACTGACTCCAATGTCGAAATGTACAATATTAATACTCCAAACAAACACAATACAAATAATGGTATATATAAAATACACAACATTGGAATAGGAATACTGTAAGGGAGGGTTGGGGGGGGGGGGTACCAAAGAGATATGGGTTGGGTAATCACGTTTTTGACTAGCTCATGGGTTGGGTAAAAAAATTATGGCTGTCTATTAGCTATAAAATAAAACCCAAATTATCATGCATTGGAAAATATGAAGAATGTGTACAATACACCAAAATAGACCATCAGTGATCGAGGAAGGATTCTATCATTGATCAGCAGGAACGCGATTGCTTTTACACACTCAGGGAGTTTGAGTGAGCTTTAGAATTTAGGCAACTTGATTTCTGTCAGCATAATGTTCTGTGTTTAATTATTATGAAGTATACAGTAACACATGTCTTGGGTAAACATTATTTTGACCAATGTTGAGGTTGGGTAAATAAAAATTTACCGTGTTTTTCGCTTGTATTCGGTCTTAAGGTGGCTCGATAGAGTTTTCAAAAATTCAGGTGTTTAACACTTTGACATGTTCAAACTACGCATTTTTAGGATTTATTCAGCAGATGTTGGGTTTTTTATATATTTTGATAACTCTACTTTCAAATTATATCAGTTTTAGTAACAGATAGTTCGTTGCTATGACGACATATGTGTACCAAATTCACTCCAAAATGGCCTATTGTCTCGTGTAGTTGGAAAAGAAGCATGGTAACCCCCAATTTTTTTTCTTCCATTCTTTTACTTGGATGAAAAGCTAAAAATTAGCAAAATATAAAAAAATTCTGTAATGCCATTTTTTTGGAAAATGCGAAAATGTCATATTCTTCAGTAAAATTTTTTGGCATTACAGAATTTAAAAATTTTTTGTATAATGAAAGTTTTTAGCGGTGCAATACAGCATGCAAAATTTGAACATAGGTCATCAGACAAAATAAAGAGATATAGCGCATTGTTTTTCTAAAATAGAAAATTCTAATGACATCAGCAATTGACATAAAACGCTATACAGGGTGTATAAAAAAAACTGAACAGATTTGAAATTGCTCTCAATTTCACAAAACAGCTATTAGTATCCAGTTTTTTATGTATATAGCTTCCTTGGGTACTTATAATGTAGAATAATGAAAAAAAATTCTGGAACTCAAATTTTGTGAACCAGGGGGTGTCTTTTCTAACAAAATAAAAATGGCTTGCGCACGCAATGTAAAAGCTTTAATCATAATTTGAGTTGATAGATGGTAAATGTGTTAGATTTTTAACTACTGTACAAAATTTCAGGCAATTTGCTTTAGTTTAAGCCTTTTAACTATTCAGTTTTTCCACACAATCAGCCTTTCGCATGCTTAATTAATCCCTTTGCCTAATTTGCATATTGCTGACATATGCAAATTAGGCAAAGGCCAGACTGGAAAGTTTGGAAATTGCGTGCCGGAGATTTCGAAAATTTAATAGTAAATATATAGAAAGCATCAAAATTGTGCGCTGGAGATATCCGCCGCGCGATACAAACTTTCCACACTGGGGCAAAGGCATTAAGAGCAAGTGTCTACAAAAATCAAACAAAATGAGAAATATGTGGCAAGGCTCAAAATTTTAAATTCGCTTTACTTTTGAATATAAGTTGACTATGGTGAAGTGAGAAACATTATGTGGTTAGTTTTTAAAAATACTCTTTTGTTTATGAAAAAAGGCAAAAAAATGTTTCAGCTGTGAGGAACGATTTTTGCAATTGAAAAATGGCCGAAATTGCGTATATGTTTACTTAATCCTGGTATCCAAAACCTAAATCCAAATAGCCTTATTATACTTTTTGTTAAAGCTACATCACTCCCTTGTTTATTAATAGTGGTTTTATGATAATTGAACAACTGAACACATTTGTGCACAATAAAGAGCGACGGGTACTGATTTTTAATGTTTGTCATTGCATGTAAAAAGTGGCAGATTTCTCCATTTGCCATCCTTTCAAATCTTATGGGATTTTGCACAAGCACTATTGCGAAACTGCCGTTTTCAGAAATGTATTATTTATTTTGGGCAAATAAATTCACACGCTTTGAGAAAGAGTTAACTTTGGTTCATTAAATATGCAAAATCACTGTTTGGCGATGCGTGACTAAAAACCCCTTGCAATAAACTCACTTAAAACATTGTTCTTCACCTTTAGTTTAGAGAATTTGAAGAAAACATAAATATACATACCTTCAATGCAAAAAGTTCCTTTGAGCTGTTCCACTTTTGGAGTTATCCCTAACTTAACTACATATTAAACTCAAAGTTCAAGGAGTCCAGCTAACAGAAATCAGCTAATCGTCTAGAGAGTGCCATTTCCTTCGAAACCACTCTGATCAGTCGTCAGTTCAAATACCAATATGCTGACTTTTCATGGAAGTTTAACTGTTATGGTGTGCTCGTGACGGATATTAATTAATCATGATAATAGCATAGCGGCGTGCGGATCGCATTTTTTCGACAATAATCCACATAAAAACAATATTAAAAATACAAGTAATGCATCACAGTGTCATTACTTTCGCCAAATCGACAGGAAGCCCGCCACCTATAATGTAAACATTTGGTGACAAATATGTCAGTATAAAAATAAAATAGAATTTCTGTAATATTAACTTTGACTGTTTGTTTCTGAGAATATTAATAATTGTAAATAAAAGTAAATTACAGCAATAAAAAAAAACTCAATTCGCAATAATCCACTTAATAGAAAAAAAAATATTAAAAAAGAAATGACAACATTACAGTAATACATCGCAGTGGCATTACTTCCGCCAAATTGACAGGAAGCCCGCCACCTATAATGTAAACATTTAGCTTTTTCGATATGTCAGTATAAAAATAAAATAGAATTTCTGCAACATTAATTTTGACTCTTTGTTTCTAAGAATATTAATAATTGTAAATGGAACACGAATGGAAGTTGTGTGAATTGTTAGCTGATTTCTGATAGATTGGATTCCAAGAACTTTGAGTCGATGTATAAGGCGGAGATGTAAACAACCGAATGGTCGACAATATTAAATTCCTGGTATAAACTCCAAAAGTGGAACAGCTCAAAGAAAATTTTTGCATTCAAGGTATGTATGTTTATATTTTCTTCAAATTCTCTAAACTAAAGGCAAAGAACAGTGATGTTTTAAGCAAGTTTATTTCATGGGGTTTTTAGTCATGCAATTGGACCATTCTCGTAATAGACTAAATTTTGATCTAAACAAAAATTTCATCACAGCTTGAAAGAGCATCACAAAATTAGTAATATTCCAAAATTTCGTTGCGAAATGTTGTAAAATGCGGATAATATAGCCCTGCGAAGTTTGCAATTTTCAGTCATTTTAGATTACAAACGGGAAATTGACAGCCCGATACGCTTTGAGGCTGTCAATTTCCCGTTTATAATCTAAAATGACTGAAAATTGCAAATTTCGCAAGGCTATATTATCCGCATTTTACAACATTTCGCAACGAAATTTTGGAATATTACTAATTTTGTGATGCTCTTTCAAGCTGTGATGAAATTTTTGTCTAGACTTGTTGAGATCAAAATTTAGTCTGTTACGCAAATGGTCAATTGCCAAACAGTGATTTTTGCATATTTAATGAACCAAAGTTAACTCTTTCTCATAGCGTGTGAATTTATTTGCCCAAAATAAATTATACATTTCTGAAAAGAGCAGTTTTCCAATAGTGCTTGTGCAAAATCTCATAAGATTTGAAAGGATGGCAAATGGAGAAATCTGTCACTTTTTACACGCAATGACAAACAATAAAGATCAGTACCCGTCGCTCTTTATTGTGCACAAATGTGTTCAGTTGTTCAATTATCATAAAACCACTTTTAATAAACGAGGGAGTGATGTATCTTTAGCAGAAAGTATAATAAGGCTATTTGGATTTAGGGTTTGGATACCAGGATTAAGTAAACATACGCAATTTCGGCCATGTTTCGATTGCGAAAATCGGTCCTCACAACTGAAATATTTTTTTGCCTTTTTTTCATAAACAAAAGAGTATTTTTAAAAACTAACCATATGACGTTTCATACTTTGTCATAGTTAACTTAAAGTCGAAAGTAGAGCGAATTAAAAATTTTGAGCCTTGCCGCGGTATGTTTGATTTTTGTAGAGACTCGCTCTTAATTAGCATGCAAATAGCTGACAACTGAAATATTTTTTTGCCTTTTTTTCATAAACAAAAGAGTATTTTTAAAAACTAACCATATGACATTTCATACTTTGTCATAGTTAACTTAAAGTCGAAAGTAGAGCGAATTAAAAATTTTGAGCCTTGCCGCGGTATGTTTGATTTTTGTAGAGACTCGCTCTTAATTAGCATGCAAATAGCTGATTTTTTAGGAAAAAACGTAATTTTGCGTGAATAGTTAGAGTGCTTAGACAAAAGCAAATTGTCTGAAATTTTGTACAGTAACTAATAACCCAACAAATGTTCCATCTATTAACTCAAAATATGATTAAAGCTTTTAAATTTTGTGCGCAAGCCATTTGTAGTTTGTTTGAAAAGACACACCCCCTGGTTCACAAAATTTGAGTTCGGGAAATTTTTCTCATTATACTACATATATATATATACATAAAAAAACTGGATACTACTAATAGCTGCTTTGCGAAATTGAGAGCAAATTCATATCTGTTCAGTTTTTTTATACACCCTGTGGAACGCGCGCAATGGCCTGATATGGCGTGAGTAACTGCTCACGTCTGGTTATTTTGGAAGCTCTTTCATTTTGTTAATCAGTTTTCGCGACTTGCACGTAAAAATGGTCACCCGGTTTTGAGTTCGCGATTCTTGAGCAGGGTTTTGTGATAACTATATCAAGCCACCTTAAAATCAAAACAATTTAATAAATTGAATTATTTATTTTAAAAATTCCTGGTTTCTGATTGGCTAACAGCCAACTGTGAAATTGTCCTATCAACTCAATGGCTAACCAAATACGGATTTTTCACATTCATATTAGCAAAATGACGTCAAAGAGTCGATATAAAAAAAAATTTGGACGCATTTCCACCATATTACTATGACAACAAGAATCATATTGACTCGCTGATGCCATTGATATGATGCAATGATGGCTGCCGGAGAACTAAGGAATTGGTTTTTTTTCTTAATATAAATAAAATCCAAATGTCTGTTTTGAATTTTTTAAACAAATAATAAAACAATTATTGAATTCGGTTTTCGCACAATATGAAGAATTATCAAGCCCTCAGTTTGCCGTTATCAACCTCAGCCTTCAGCTTCTGTTGATAACGGCAAACTGAGGGCTTGATAATTCTTCATATCATGCTCAACCTCATTCAATAATTGTTAATTATTAGGTTTGGCACATGAAAAGAGCACCTTTAATTTTGATCAGGTTTCAATCTACTTTTTATTAATTATTAACAACATCTAAAACACCTTTCACTTACTGCCGTTGTGAACTTCATTGAATACCTTTGCAAACCCGCTAAACGATACGCATGAATGACACCTGCAATATTATTACAGACATAAAGGTCCAGACCATGCTATAATTTTATGATGCAATTCCACGAGAAAAGAACACTTCCTTATAAATAGGGAAAATCATTTCTTGAGGGAAATAGCTATTTTAATACTAAATCTATTAATTGCTATTTTAATACTATAATAACGGAACAAGAGTGCCTGTTGGCCTAGTAGCTCTCGCATTAACGCTTCCTGTATATAAGGGCAACATGCCAACGTCCATATTCATGTTGTCACGCAATCTCGTACCCAGAGCAATGCCTGTGCACTGGCTAGGATGGCATTGGCTCTGGGGAAATCGACAACCGGAACCCCTAAATTTAGGGGTTCCGGTTCTTTGTCGGCACGCACGATTGATAAACGTTAAACCAGTCACAGCACAGGAAAAATTCAATTTCCCCAGAGCCAATGCCATCCTAGCCCGTGCACAGGCATTGCTCTGGGTACGAGATTGGTTGTCATGCAAAATGTCAAAATGACGTTTCTGCCTCCACCCACCCCTGAAAACGGCAAGTGTATCTAATACTTTAATGTGGGGTTTCCACTCCAAAAACACTTAAAATAAAATATTAAACCTTTGTATACGCTTAATAATTTCACAAAATTGTAAATAATTGCACAAAAACTGCGAAAATTACGAAAAAGGTTAAATTTAAAAGCATCTCGGGCTCAGAAGTTTTTGCACGTTTTTTAATATTCATGATTAATAGCACAAATAGGGATCGCATATTACAATTGATCCTATACCCTGCGAGCAAAGTCCTCTCGTATTTCTTCTTGGCACCGGCACGGAGAAGCGAGAGAGACTCTGCAGAACTTGTGTATATTCTTTGTGGAGCCGACAATCCAAAAACTTGGATAATTATGCATAATTCCAGGTTTGATACTGGTTCTATAACCGGTTTTGATCCAAACCGGAAGCTACTTATTAAATCTTCTTCTGGGAAATAGGCAGTTGCTTAGCAACCTTCGCACATGCTCAAATGAATGTATACACAAGTTTTGCAGAGTCTATCTTGCTTTGCTTCTCCGTGCCGTGTCGAGAAGTAATACAAGAGGACTTTGCCTGGAGGGTAAATCGATCCTATCATCTGTATCAAAACTTACGCTAAAGATATTTGCCATTTTAGCAGAGTCCTATCCACGAAGCAAACATCTGAGGCTTCAACCATTCCTCTGCATTCAGGATACAACTTCCAACCTCCTTTGGGCTACCGAATTTACAGTAACCATAAAATATGCTGCACCGATTACACTTTACAGACACTTTGACCCCATCGCCTGTTCTGAAAACATCTTGGACCAGCACTTTTACGGGATCATTGTAGATCACTAAACTCGAGTTGCACTGAAGACAATGACCACAAGGCGGTGTAAACACGTGGATTTTCCTATCATCATCACTTGTTACATGTATATTTAGTGGTAGTTTTTATTTTGAGACAGATTCAAATATCACATTCACATCATCTTCCTGCAATTCTGGACAAATCATATTCAATACTACACGACGGAAATTTACGGGCAATACGTACAACGATGGTACGACATTGGCAATGGCACAAACAAGCGTTAAACCGTATTTGACTATAAGCGCACAAAGAATAACATCGCTAGGAAGACGGTCAGCAAATTTAAAATCAATAGAACCAATTCCATTTAATAACTTGGCACCAACTGCTTCTTGATCTAATTCTTCTTCTGCCTCCTTGCGCAAATCTTCTACTGAGAATGACTTGCGCACATGTTTACGACTCTTCGACATGATAAAACGCTGTCAAACACTCAAACAATCCCATATATAAATTAACTCTTTTGCATCACAACCCAGTTCTATCGATCCTGCGAGATCGATGGCGAGAAGTTTCATATCTTCGGTTCTGCGCATGCTATGAAGACAGAAATACCACCATTCGATTCAGAAATAAAAGATTTAACTAATTCTTCCGTATAGTTTTAGTCATTATCAACATTGTAGCGATTTATGGGCCTTTGAAAGTCAAACACGATCATATTGTATCAAATTACGCAATTGTCTGAACAAAATATAGACTAGCCATACCTTTCGCCGAAAATAACTTCGGCCCCTTCGAACATATCGTCTTTGTAATAGTCTTGTTAGAATCCCCATTAAAAACACTATCTAAAGTGTTATTTGCAAGCCTGTATCTTCAAATCTGTAACTTTTATCAATATATTTCCATTTCTTGTCCGACTGTGAGCTCGAAGTGAGTTAATCCCAACCGGAAATACGACTGAAAACCGTCAAAACAATGCGACGCTTGTATCGTATGACCCTGGAAAGGCCAGAAATGGATTCGCAAGGTCAAATTGCATCTACACGCGTGAGTTTGACGTCATCCCGGCCACAGGAGCTTCTTATTGGCCAATTATTGCGCAATGTACGCAATTGCGAGTAAAACCCGAACATTTTGAAAAATTCAAAATAAATATTTCTACTCGTCGTATTCAAACGAAATTTTGTACACAAAAGCGCTTGAATACAAAGAGTATTTTACACATATAGCCGTTCTGCAAATGACGAAAAGTTCAAGGGATATTCAAGATTTTGTGGATATGAAATTTAGAATCTTTGGTCAAGCGGTGAGTAAATATATGATTGTTTCGGTTTGTGTAATGTTTTGACGGCACTTGACCCCCCGTTCGAAAGGTTATTTTGTGAGGATTTCAATGGTGGGTTTTATTTAAAAGGGGGGTCAATACTCACCGAGATATTTATACTAGAACGATTGGGTCGTAATATGATGCGAATGCTTGTGACCGAAAAGAGTTAAGGTATAAATCGGAAATACGTCATGTTTTGAGACCGGCCATGTGGGCACATGTACAGACTAGGAACTGGATGTAGTCTCTCCTCTCATAGTCATATACGCTTCATATTTTCATGATGAAAGGGTTTTCATCATGAAATACGAAGCGTCTGCTGTCTGCACCGCAGCGCAGGATACTCCTCTGTGGTTGAGGGCAATGAGAGGAGTGAACAGAGAGTGAAAGACTATAGATTTCTACCATAAAACTGACATCTTTTGAAGTTTTTGCCTTATACTGGCTATATAAAAGTATGAGAAGAAATCAAGTCAAATCTGGTATTTCAAGAACAAGCATACATCATAGAAGAATAAAGAACATTTGAATGTTGAAAGAAACTAAATCACAGGTAAATAATTTGATATGTTCACTCACTGTTCGATATAGGTGTCAGATTTCACAATGTCAGTAGCAAAAAATAAACGCTCCGCAAAAGAATTAAATAATTCTGTTTTGAGTAGTCCTACTAAGCCAAGTACTAAGGAACAGAAAAAAGAAGTTGATGACGAAGTGGTCGAAAAAAAATGGGATCTAGAATCGCTATTTAAGCTAGTTGAGAGCTTGAACAAGAAACTGGACAAGCTTGAATCAATCGAAGCGCATTTAAAACATGTGGATCATGATATCACTGAACTGAAACACTCGCTATCTTATATGCACGATACAACTGAAGAATTGAAGTTAAAACAAACCTCCTATGATGATATATTGTTGAAAAATGAAGAAAAAATAGGCAGTCTCGAGAAGTTGGCGTCAACCCTTAAAGAAGAGCTAATTGACCTCAGGGCACGAAGCATGAGGAGTAACCTTATGTTTTACAATCTACCTGAGAATGATGAAGAAAATCCTGAAAAAGTGGTGTCAGAGGTATTGGAGAAGATCAATACACGTTGATAGACCCGTTCGATCCTGCATGTTTAAATAAACTTTAATTTTAGATATCTACAATAATATACACAATGTTTATCTGTTTTTTAATAAGTATATATACCTACTCAGCACAAACTTTAATCAAAAACCAATCTAAATGCCTATATATAATGATCAAACAATAGAAACATATTGCTACACGTGCAACTTGGAAATTACTGATAAGTCAATTAAATGTTATATATGTGGCAACATTTTTCACACAAAAACAGGATGCACTAAGATTAGAATCAATGACCTAAAAAATGTGATATCAAATAATGATTCGTTTGCATGTCATCAATGTTTGGAATCCTGTTTTCCGTTTAATAACCTAAATAATCCTGATTTTTTACAAACTATTGAAAACTCGACATCAGAGATTGATATGGACAGAATTAATAATTTAGTATTTGATCTGTTTAAAAGTTTAAATAATAGTGAAACTGAAAACCTTGACGAATCTGCAATTAATCCGGTAATTGAAAATTCTTATTATACCACCAATACATTTAATAACTCAATAGAAACTAAAAATATAGCTTCAAATAACTTATCACTACTGCACCTAAACATAAGAAGCTTAAAGAATAAAGTCGACTCTCTTCAAACTTTTCTAAATATACTGAAATTAAAATTTTCACTAATAGCGCTTACAGAAACTTGGCTTAAAGACAACATTGACATAAACTATGACATACCAGGATATAGCAGTATTTACTTAAACAGGAAAGCAGATAAATCTGGCGGCGGAATTTGCGCATTTATAAGAGATCACATTGAATTTAAAATCCGCGATGATATCAATGGTATAACAACCGGGAAACACAATGTAGAATTTCAAGTATGAAAACTGTTCTTTTGCAAACAGATTCTTCAACCAACTAACATCCTCTGCGTTTCTCCCCCTTATAACTAAACCAACGAGATTAACTGAACATACAGCAACCTTAATTGACAATATATTTTGCAATCAAGTTAGCTATCAACAACAAATTAGTGGAATATTATTTAACGATCTATCGGATCACCTACCAGTATTCCAAATATGTCTAGATTATAACCAAAATCAAGTTGAAAACGGTGTTAAGCTAAGTAAAACTCGACCAATGCCTGATGCAGCACGAGAATCCTTTGTTAATGAATTAAATAATCAAACATGGTCATCTACACTATCAAAACCTGACGTTGAAAAATCTTATGAAGAGTTTCAAAAGTCCTTTCAAGGAATTTTTAACAAACATTTTCCAATAAAAGTGGTTAAATTAAAAGACAACATATGCCCTAAGAAACCGTGGATAACCAATGGACTAATAAAATCCACGAAAACGAAAACTAAACTATACAGGAAATTTCTATACAAGCCAACAGAATTTAATAGAACGAAGTATAAAATATTCCGAAATAAATTAAACCATCTTATAAGAGTCTCCAAGAAAAGGCATTTTCAAAAACGGTTAAATGATGCCAAAGCTGATTTGAAAAGTACATGGAAAATACTAAATGAATTATTAATTTGCAAAAAAGGAGAGAGAAAACAGCTACCTTCTAGGTTTTCTCTAGAAGATGGCAGGGAAATAAACAATCCAAACACAATTGCGAATAGATTTAATGAATTTTTTGTTAATGTAGGACCAAATTTAGCTAAGAAGTTCGATCAGAATTCTAACAATTTCACCAAGCACCTACAAGGTGACTATCAAAAATCTATGTTTCTAAAAAGCACTTCAAACCAAGAAATTGAAGAAATAATTGCCTCTATGAAATCTAAAAGCAGCTGCGGAATCGATCGAATAAGTTCCAAACTTATTAAACACATTTCCCATATTATTTCAATACCACTGTGCCATGTTTTCAATCTATCCTTCACATGTGGTATTATACCTCGTGAGTTAAAAATGTCGCTAGTTACACCCATTTATAAGACTGGTGACAAAACCAAATTTACGAATTATAGAACTATCTCAGTCTTACCAAGTTTTGGAAAAATACTAGAAAAAATAATTTAACGATTAACATCCTACATCACTAAACATGATATCCTCTATGACAAACAATACGGATTTGGTAATAAATACTCAACAAATCTCGCAATGATTGATCTAGTTGACAAAATATCTACTGCAATAGAAAACGGGGAATATACTGTTGGTATCTTCTTAGATCTTTCTAAAGCATTTGACACCGTAAATCATAAAATCTTATTGACTAAACTTCATCATTATGGAATTAGAGGTATATGCAATGATTGGTTTGCAAACTACTTGACTGACAGAAAACAGATAGTTAAATATAATGTAACTTACTCAACTGAAAAAACGATCAAATGTGGAGTTCCTCAAGGAACAGGTTTGGGCCCATTACTTTTTCTTTTATATATCAATGATATACATTGCTCTAGTAATCTTTCGTTTATATTGTTTGCAGATGACATCAATTTATTTCGTTCAGGAAAAGACCTGAAACAACTTGAAATAGAAATAAATCATGAACTTATACTTGTGCAAACATGGCTTAAGAATAATCAGCTTACCTTAAATATTAAAAAGACTAACTACATTATATTCAAATCATTCAGGAAAAAACATAATGCAAATCTAACCTTTAAGATTAATGATAAAATTATACAAAATGCTAAAGAAACTAAATTCCTTGATATTATAATTGACGAACACTTAACATGGAAAAGTCATATTGATTACATAACTAAGAAATTATTAAAAGTATCTAACATTCTTTGTAAAGTTCGTCACTACCTAAATAAAAAACATCTCATAACTCTATATCATACTCTTCTTTACCCACATTTATATTACGGTAATATACTATGGGCTAGCAACTATAAAACAAGATTAAAGTCAGTATCAACGATACAGAAAAAGATTCTGAAAATAATATCATTTTTGCCTTATACTTTCTCATCTTCAACCCTTTTTTCAACGCTAGAAATACTAAATATTAATAAGATAAATGCTTTTCAAGTTGGTTTGTTCACATTCGACGCAGTAAAAAATACACTACCACCTCAATTTGATTCACTTTGCATAAAAAAACAATGTTATTCATTGCCATAATACCAGAGGCTCTATGAAATTACACAAACGACACTACAGATGCACAGTAGTGTGGAATATGTTGCCGGAATACATTAAAAATAGCGATAGTAAATACATATTTAATTTTAATATTTAAGTGCAATCTAAAATTATATCTTCTTTCTTCTGAAGATTATTGGTTGTACTCACAAAAAATGTAAATAAAAATAATTTATAACTTTATAAAGTTAATTTGTATTAGTGGACCTCATATATCTTGAACCTGACATTATCTGACACTATTCTCCTTTGTTATATTAGTTTGTTTTTTAAATTTTTTAGGGTGGACTACTAGAAAAGCCCTGACGGGCTTGTTAGTCTTCCTTCCATATGAATTGTATCTTTATATTTTATCAAAACTGTAACTGTATAATGGAAAATAAATAGCTATCTATAACTGCTTTTATTTTGGCCGTCAAAATGTCAGAGTCGACCGAAGGTCAGACACAGCACTATTTACTACAGTACTAAAACAATTACTTACATTTTTACTAGATAGGTTTAGGGTTTAGTGTGCAGTGCATTTGTAATTGACATTTTATGCTTGGTCTGGCAAATTTGGTTTAAATAGACCAACTGGCCAGGGTGCATTCCATATTTCCATGTAAACTACGCCAGAGATACGCCAACATATACGATAGTTCGAGCGAATACATCAGAGATTTTAACTTTGGGGACCAAAATCCATGTTAAAATGTCTAACCTGTCATTTTTATATACTATTATTAAACATCATATTCTTGA